AATAAAATGAAATAAGAAATCCATTTTAAAAGTGACCCGATATGTTCGAACATTAAACAATAACTAAACTTGAAGAAAATTTATAGTCCCTCAGCTTACTGCAAAAAGTGGTTCGACCTATGAAATTAAAATAAAGTTGCTCATCAATGGATTTTGCTTTTTTTACCGACAATTAACCATATGCTTCCAGATGTCGATAACAATGGAAATGGAAAAATCATTGTCATATTCTCATACAGACATAAGGAGACATAAGGGCAATGAAGAGGCTGACATACTTGGCCGTGAAGGAGCCTCAAATGTTCTAACTGGCCAAGAACCCTTCTGTGGTGTAATAAAGACAGCTATCAGAATAAGCGCAAAACAGTGGATTCTAAAAAATCTCATTAATGGTGGAACAATTCACCAGGACAGAGATAGGCCAAAGAATTCTTGAACAATACTAGAACAATACTATAGATCTTGTTGGACTATTAACAGGGCATTGTAGGCTTAACAAACACTTGTGTAACCTTGGCTTGGCAAAAAAAAACCTTGTGTCGATTGCGAAGGTCTATCAAGGCTATTTTACACCTAAATAATAAAAAATCAAGGGTAACTAGCTATGTCGCAGAGCTATTTCCAATAGATATGAAAAGGTCGAAGTGGGATAGGTTACAGGCTACAAGGCCCTCAGGGTGTGTACATGCCTTAGATTATACAAACCTTGGTACATGCCGAAGATGCTTCGATGAGTGATGATTGTTGATCGATGATCGATAAGCGATGGTTAAGTAGATGTCAATCGATGTAACACAAATGTACAAATTTAAATGAGAGTGTGCATACCAAATATTAGCACACCCTCGCATTACGCACCACGATATTTACAGGCATCTTGAAATCTTAAATGCGATTGGCTCTACAAATTATTTCTGGTGCGACGGTGCCGGTAGCGATAGCATACGTCATAGAACATAAGTCAATTATTATAAAGGAACATACCAAATGGAAGAAAAAATCTGCTTGTATTTGAAGTTGCTTCAAAAAAATCACTATATTATGTCTCAATACAATTGAAAAAAGGAGTCGCTCATTACGATGCTTTTTGACATCAGTATAACACGAATATAGTATTAAAAATATTATGACTTAACTCCGTATCAGACTACAGTAGTCCAATGCATTATCTTTCTTTACCTCGCTGAGATGACATATATAAACGAGCTGAACTATATCGGCGGCAATTGACTTCGAAAATGGTCGAATATAAACAAAGACAAGAAGAGTTACTCTAAGCTCCTCCCTTAATGTTAATGTTGCCTTTCTTGCTCACTTTCTGATGCCACTCTTCCTTGATATATTTTGGCCGATTTCAGTTTCCATTCAATTTAGTAATTGCAATTACGCAGCAAAAAGATCAATAAATTTTGTGAAAAAAGCATACAATTTTACAGTTATTTTTGAGTGATATGGTGAAAATATTGTACATTTTCGTTTTATCGTACATTGTACAGAACACCAAAATTATCGTATAAAACGATCATTATCGTACACCTGGCAACACTGCTTGAAGCATCTATCATCACTCATCGAGGAAGATATCCAGGCTCGACTAGAGGGGGGGTAGCCGGGACTAATTCTCGGGGCCCGGGCTCAAATGGGGGCCCGGCAGCGCTGTAAGGGGGGCCCGACAATAGGGTTTTCTGTTCCCGCATGGTGATGTGTTTATTGTTATAAGAAGAATAATTGAAGTTAGGGATCAAATATTTTTGTAGATTTTTGAAGAAGTAATTGAGATAAGGAGAAACTTAATTTTTTTCGAGACGAGGACCTTTTTTTTTGTGAAAACGAAAAGTTTTAGGGCCCGATGTAGAGAATTGTCCCGGGGCCCGACCTGCTCTCGGCGGCCCTGAAGATATCTTCGACATGTACACCAATAATCTATCATGACTTCACCCTTAGTCCTAACGAAATCTAATGTAATCTACCCAATTGAATAGAAGTGCGAAAAAAGTGTTTCTTACTATTGAAAATAATGTAGAGAATATAATTCTAAAATTTTTACACATAAGTATTGGTACCTGATTATAAATAAAAACTATATAATATATTTTTTCTAATTTATAATGGCACTAGTGGTAGGGAAAGGTTTATTAATACACAATATACAACTACTATTTTGTCACAAATATTTTTTTTTAATTTTGACAAGTAAAGTGACATTTTTTGGAATGGCAGCAAGTGTCAAAATAATCTACTTTACACAACCAGTTGCATAATGTAAACATTTATTATGTCAACAGTTGCGAAAAGAAAATAAATAAAAATGAACCTTTTTGGTTTTAAAATTAATTATATACATTATTATTGAAAATTTATATTAAAGGTCAGGTTGACTAATAAAAATAGAATTTGGTTACACTTACAACCTAGTAATATTGTAAGACAAAATAACCCACTTTTTTAAAAACTAAATAACTTGCCTTATAAACACACTACAAGTCGTTGAGAATAAATAATCAATATTATGTTCTATTTGTCAGTAAAATGATGCATATCGTCGGCTTAATATGAAAAGTGCATAAGTCCAAATTTTTTTGATTTTGCGATTTTGGCTGAATCTGGTACACCGCGGCTAAAGCTACAGAGAAATATATTCTTAGTTTACGAAAATTGTCACTAGATTTCGCTAAAAACACTACTATGAAATCTGCATAAGTCCCTCAAGTTTGACATGCATATGAATATTGCATAAGTCCTAATTATTAACATGGCGTCAAATGCGGCATTGTGAATTGTGTGCATAGTTTGTTGCTTTTTAAAGTAATTTGCTGCTGTATTATATAAAGCTGGTAATAATAACGTAAAGGAAAGTACAAGTGACTAATTGTTATATAAAATCGATTATACTTCAACAAATATTAATATGTAAAGTGTTTAAATTTTGAATGGAGTTGTGCAATTTTCATAAAAATATAACATACTACTAATTTTTATTTAACTATAAATTTTAAATAAGCCGTAAATTCGTTTTTGTCTCTCCTGTAAAATTGTTCATTTCGGACTTATGTAATTTTCATATTAAGCCGACGATATGCAACTAACAATTCAAGAGAGCAGTAATATTGTTTGCCTAGATGTCAGTAATTTCTTACACAATTTTATAAATAATCTAATCAAATTTGGAAAAAATATTGTATATAACACGTTACGAAATGCGGTTAAGGCATTTAGTAACTGGTTTCATAAATAGCTAATATTTGTCACATAATTAACGTACTTTAAAGTCCTCCTTTAAAAATAATGAATTTTTATTTTTCCTGTGCTCTAGGTACATGAATTCAGACATGAGCAATTTTCCTTGGTGCCATGTTACCATAGGTAGGTATTAAAACCTGCAAAGAAACTTAAAACATACAATTATTAATAAAAAGACAATAAAGTGTTTTTTCACTTTCATTTTGATTTTGCTTTCTGTCAGCTTATTCATCATCCATCGTTGTGTCCTATTAGCTGATAAATCGTTTGCATGTAGAAATTTTGTTTGTTTGAACACCAAAAAAATAGACTTGATTCCTATCAGCTTTGATCCCACAATTTACAACTACGAAAGTTAATGGCATGTTTGTTTTTTGTTGAAAATATTTCACAAACATATTAGTCATAAAGTCACTATACGTATTAAATGTATTTTTAAACACCTTACAAATTAACGTAAGATCCTTTGCATTATCTTGTTGAAAACTTAAAACAGAAGTACACACAAGATAGTTTTATGTGGTAAAATTCTTAAATTTACAGAGATTGTGATAGTCTAAGATCCGATATAAGGTCGACCTTCACCCATCTGTTTAATGGATGAAAGTTTCGTTTTATTAAATAAAATTTGTTTATAAGTATACCGCAAAAGGGTTGCCTAAGAAAATACGGTCCAGAGTATTTATTTTCTTAAAATACGACACCCTGTAAAGTATTCCCCAGAAGCTTCGACTATGCCCAAACTTTAATCAGCTCACCGCAGGATAGATTAAAGCCTAGGCTTAAAATTTGGTGTTTTTCTCTTTATCCGTTTTTGAGTTGTCTTCAAAATTCAAAATTTGCACTTTTCCTTAAATATCTCGAATTAGGTCCATTTTAGGGAAATCATGTATAGAAACAAAATAATAGAGAATGGCTTCATAAGCAACTTTTATCATGATTCCTATACTTTCCTTATCTGTACACAGAAAGGAAAACAAAAATGGCCGTGACTGTATTTTTTTAGGCAACCCATTTGCGGTATATTTAAAAACATTTTATTTAATAAAAAAAAACTTTTATCAATTAAACAGATGGGTGAAGGTCGACCTTACTTATGGATCCTGATGATATAATGATTGAAAAACCAATGTAAACAAACTTTTTGTGTCAATCGTCATTAAATCGCTATTAAAAGTGATTAAAATCTGCCCAAAATCATATATTCTAATAATATCTTTCCAAAATCAATGTTTTTCTAAGATATTTTTTCATTCATCGAATTTATTCCTATATATCGGCTAATGGACAAAGTTCCTGGTCAAGAAATTCAAATCCAGCGACACACACACTATTCCTATATATTATTTAACAGCAAAAAATTATTTTATTATGAATGAAGGCTATTAAGTATTTCGGAACCGGAAGATATACTGAACTACTTAGCTTTAGCAGTCGAACCGGAAGGTAGCGACAATGCCACCACCAATTACGACTCCGATTGTAAAACGAAAAAAAAAATGTATTTGCTTTCCGAAACTCGATTATTTTTAGGACTCTGCATTGTCGCCTACTTTGGATATTTTTACAGAACACAAAAAAAAAATAAGTAGAAAACATGTTAGACAATAAAAACCAAAATAATGTTTCACTTTAACTATCTGATTTTCTCCACTCATAATGTGTTTGTTGCAGAATTGTAGTTTTCCCTTGGTGTTTCTTGTAACTACGTCATTGATAATAGCACATATTCAAAGTAAAAATATTTCGTTTTATTTTAGGTAACGATGTCTTACCTAGAAATATATAATGAACAAATTAGAGACCTACTTAATCCATCATCAGGATATTTAGAACTTAGAGAAGACTCCAAAGGAAAAAACATTCAAGTTGCTGGTCTTTCTGAAATATCTACTAACAGTACAGATGAAGTAAGTATTTCTTTAACAATTAAAAATATAATATTGAGTAGTAGGTAATTTCTTATAGGTAAATTGATTCTAAGTCTGTAACTGAAAAAATTCTATTATCGTTGATATATTTCAAAAATAAGTCTAATACTTGATTGAATCAGAATATCTATTATTGATAATTGAATAGGTATCTAAAAATCTAAAGTGTATTGGAATCAATATGTAATGTGTCCTTTATATAAGTAAGGACAGTCTCGGTCTGGGTCTATCCACAATTTTATCTATTTTTATATAATTATGATTACAATATATCAGGTAATCTAATTTATGCGTTTTGTTTGGTGGAAAAAATATATAAAATTATTACAAACCAGTAATACATCATTATTTCCATTACCAACGTGACAATTATTGTATGCCGGTATTGTAAAAGTATAAGGATTTTAATTAAAAATAATTACGGGTTTTAAACTGTCTGTACCTCACGTAGTTGTTAAAAGCCAAAACATCAGTAGAATAAGGGCAGACGGGGTAACGTTTCCCAGTCGTTTAGAAATTTGTGTACCAATCACTCTTGGGATATGAAGTTTGGCCACAGTACACATAATGTATATTGTGGTTTAGTGTTATCTCTTTTAAAAACAGGAATAAGTATATAGCTTCTATCTCCTATCTCATAAATATCCTGTCATAACCAGAATACTGTTCGATATCATAATCGAGAACGTGACGTCATAATCAGGAGTAATTCCATGGCCCATAACTCATAAATAATATCCAGTGTCATAAGTTGTATATTTTTCGATGTCATAATCAAAATTGTATACATAAATAATCTCATTCACAATCAGCAGGAAATATTTCCATGTCTCGTTATTATCTTCGAAGATATTTATAATACTGAGTTGCACCAAGGATATGCACCAAGGATGCTAAAAAAAGTAGGCAAAGTATAAATGTACATGATATTTTGTTTATGTCCGAGACCGCATTTGAGTGTGTTCCAGAAAAACGAGGGTTGGGGCTACCGTGACGCTGTACTATGTCACCACACTATGTGGCTTGACGCTATGCATTATCATCACCAGGGGCGTGCGGTCCATGGAAGCGGAGGAAGCACCGCTTCCCTACACTTTGAGATTTAAAAATAAATATTTGTCAGTTTACAACGCATAAAAATTAATATTAAATTAGGTACTATATTTTCTCTGAAACATTACGTAAACTTCGTAAATGTACTAACAATTCATTGTTGTAATGTGTAAACGCACGCACCACCCATGAGAAAATTAATTGTGTAAACGCACACACCATATACTTCGAGTCCGTCGGCGGAAGCGCGTCTTGAAAAAGCCGGCTCATCTTCCGATTGATTTCGCTTCGTGTTATTGACCCTGCTTTGCAGCGACAGTAGTCAGTCTGTTTGGACACGTGAAATACGGTGGAGAGGTAGCGATTTTTACGTCGCCTTACGCATATTGCAATTCGCACTGCGAATCGACGTGTAAGGAAATTCGTAGACTTCAGATAGATTTCGTTTCGTTTTTCATAGTTGTTTTTCTTTTTGTAAAATGGAGGAACTATGCACTGTGCCTGTGAACAATAATAATGTGGTAAATTGTGTCTGTATTGTGTGCTCTTTATTGAAAAAAGGATTTTAAAGTAGAAATTTTGAAGAGAAAACGGACATTATTAATTTTAGTAGTCTAAAGGATCCTATCAATTTAGAGACGAAAGTAGAAAAGTCAGCAAAGAAATTTAGAAGGCATTTTCACGTAGGGTTTTATGAAAAGTATGAATGGTTAACCGGCTGCAATACTTTGAAGAAATTGTTTTGCTGGCCTTGCCTACTTTTTAATATAGCCGAAAAAACGACATGTAAATAGAAAATTTCATATAAGTGCTAGAATTAAAGAAAAAACATTCGGGACCTATCGTATTGAACATAGTTTGGACAATTATTTAAAACAAAATTTACAATAAAAGGGTAAAAAAAATAGGGACATCTTACGATTAATAGATGTAACTTGTTTCCTGGGAGAGCATGAACTAAGTTTTAGGGGTCACAATGAAGCAAGTGGATCCGCCAATCGAGGAAATTACATGGACCTTCTAAGTTTTTTAGCAAAATACGATGATACCCGAAAAAATCATTTTATTGATTCGAGGACTTTCCGAGGTACCTCAAACAGAATCCAAAATGATTTAATTAAATAATAAGACTCAAAAAATTGGCTTAGAACCTGAAAGAAAGAGAATTAGAATTGATAATGTCGGCGACAGAGAGACCTCCTATTATCGATTATACGCCGAAATTTTTGATAATATTTTACAACAAATGAACTCTCGATTTCAAAACTTTAACGAATTAAAATTTGTTGAATTGTGCAATTTTAATATTAGTAACTACGATTCATCAAAATTTCCATCGTAAGCTTTTAATACACTAAAATTAAATTATGGCAATTTTTCGATATTCCAGCATTAAAGTCCCAGTTAAGTGTTGTTTATGAAACAACTGAAATTAGTGATAAAAAGACGCCCATCAATGTGTTAAATTTTTTTATAACAACTAGTTTAAATAAGTCCCTTTGTGAAGTCGTCAAGTTGTGTGAATTAGTACTAACCATCCCAGTCACAAGTGCGTCAGTTGAGCGAAGTTTTTCAGCTTTAAAGCGCATTAAAAGTTTTATACGAAATTCAACAAGTGAAGACAGACTCTCCAATTTAGGAATAATATCCATTGAAAAACAGCTTGTTAAACAGTTATCAGAAAATCAAAAATTTTACGACGATATTATAGACAAATTTTCAGCCTTTGAGGATAGGCAAATAGATCTTAAGTATAAATAAATGTCAACTGATGTGTCAACTGTGCGAAAAATGCTGAAAAAAAAAATAAAAAAAAAACTTCAGTTAAATGTTTTTTTTACGTTTAAATAAACCAAGGAAGCTTTTCAATGGCAAGTTTTTTATAGCTTCTAGTACTAAAGTGGGTAATAAAGTAATAGTAACACTTCAAAAATCTCAATCTCGAATATCCGTAGTACTGAGGAAAAAAGCAAGAATTTGACAAAATGGTGAATGCGCCGCGAAAAATGTTCGTCTGCGGCGCTGTGCTTACTGGCCTGCTGTATTTTTATACAATCGCTTCCCCTTCCAAAAATGTCACCGCACGACACTGATCATCACTATCATCGTTGATAAAACTTCTTTTTCTGTGTCTTTGATATCATCATTGCTGTTGTCAACACAGTCACTTTCACTCTCATTTTTTATGTAGAAATATATTGCTTATCTCACGACCTAAATTTTTGAGTTTATTATTTTTTTGTTTTTCTAAATAGCGATGAATTTTATTACTGTAAATAAACCTTGTGAACTATTCAACGTACACTAAAAGAATGATTTAAATAGTAATATGCCTGTTTAATTGGCAGAAATGATCCTGCAATTAAAATATCATCAGGACGATCCTGGTACCGATGAAGTTGTAATCAGCCTTAACAGGGAAATTTTTTGACCATAAATCAAACACTACTAATGGCACACTGTTTATTCAATTATTAGAAAACACATATGTACACGACAACACTTTTGTACTTGTAGGAAATTCACTCTCACGCTCTGTTGATGGTAATGAAATTGTGTAAATTTAAAGGTAAAATGTCGACCCCGAAACTAGTCATTTGTTGAAGGAACGAAAGTAAAGTCTGTGTAACAAGATGAGTGTCGAGACATTATTGCTAAAGTGCCGATAAGCGAGAACCAGATATATTGTCTGTTGAAAGGTCGGAAGCGGAGTCCGTAGGAAAATAACTGAGATGGTGCTCGAGTGGAAGACTTGTTATTTCTTGTATTTTGAGGGCGTGACCAATTAGTATACTAGAATCAACTGGAGTGAAATTTGTTACACTATTTTACCTTTGTTAAGTGGGCGAGAGAGAGAGAGAGAGAGAGAGAGAGAAACACTGTAATATACGAGGTAGAGAATATATAAAGGAATGTGGTGGTTTAGTTGTTATTCGTACTGACTACGTGATGTTTCACGTGCGTTGAATGCAGTATATTTAGTTTGTACTATATCTAAGGCTGTATGAAATTTTTATTTGTATAATGGGTAATATGCACTTCTTGAAAGCGTAGGTAGAGCAAAATGAATTATTTGTAGGAAAAATAATAATCATTTTTTGAAAGTGTGGGTTTAACACAAATGGATTGAACATAGGCGGTTTGCGAAATGTTATGTTTAAATTTAAGATTGTGTTCTGAAATTTAAACAATGCATATGATCAGCTAACACTAGGACTAGGGATGAGTAGGAATTTTCTTATACTGAATATAATGTATGCGTTCGGATCCTATAAGAGAGACTGCAAAGATTATTTATGAGACGAGACAGAAATATAATAGTTGTTGTGTATGTAGACTTAATTAATTTATCATTTGGTTTAGCATTTATTAACTATATACGAAATATATTATCTTATTTAGGTAATGCAACTTCTTCACAAAGGCAATAAAGCTCGTACAATCGAACCAACGGCAATGAATCAAACTTCATCAAGAAGCCACGCTCTACTTAGCGTGATGGTACGCCACTCGATTCCAATTGATGAAAAAGACCATCTTCGAATTCGGATCAAGCAAGGGCGGCTTTTTATGATAGACTTGGCAGGATCGGAGAGAGCAAATAAGACGAAAAATAGCGGCAAACGATTACAAGAGGGAGCCCACATAAATAGGTCATTATTGGCTCTTGGTAATTGTATCAATGCTTTGAGCGGCGGAGCACGGTATGTTATACATTTGTTATATTATTAAATTTTACATGTAGGTAGATTTTTCTCCAGAACAGAAAAGTTTTCCATTAATTGATTACTTCCTCTGTATACCTACTTAACTTTTGATGTAAGAACGCCACTGGCTACTTGAAGCTCTTAGAGAGGGATATAACCTTATTTCTAACTAGTTTAACATATTATGTACTATTTCTCCATAGAGTGCAGATTCATTATTTTGGGTAAGGAATCATAACACAAAGACACAATAAAATGGGACGGCACTGTCTTTATTAATTAATATAACAAATAGTCCAAAACTGGTCACATATACATTTTATATCACTAAAAATAACTACAACCACCGGGCCACTATACAATTATTACTTTTGCACTCGTAAACCCTATTGATTATTAAAAGTAAAGCCAATATTCAAAGCGCGTGGGTTAGCAAGTTTTCAGACGCTATACGCTATTCAAAAAAGATAATGGCCGACACCCTCGACTCTTCGTCCGTGAGGCAAATTTACCGGGGGGGGTATTCCTATGCGCTAGACTAGGGGTAGCATTATCTAAAAACAAATCTTAATTTGGCTAATAGTTTTTAATTCAGATAATTTTTGCTGTTAAATTTGAATGGCCCCGCGCCAAGCCCGCGCCTTTCTACTATTCTTCTTTTTATTATTCTTTTCTTCTTTCATATGACCTCTTACCTAATAAGGACTGAATTGAAAAAATCATCTACGTCCACTAGGTGGCGCTGAAAATTCTATCACCGTTTTCTAACATGGGAGTTACCGTTCTAAGAGTAAGTGTTCTGTGGTCGTACCGCAAAACGCGAGAGGGCAACAAGAGCCATCTCTCCAAATGGTACTGAATGTATATCATTTTCATTAAATTGTTGCGACAAATTAACGGTGCTCATTGATTTACAGTGTTAAATTCCTGGTGATTTTCTCATTGGCAATAGTCTCACGGAATATCCAGAACAAGATCTGACATATATACCCGAAAATAGCTTCAATTTTTTTCAACACTGCTCTCTCATGCAACAGTCATTTTGGAGAAGATGGTCTGTTGAATATTTAAACACTTTTCAGAATAGACCAAAATGGCTCCACCCTTCAACCAATTTGAAGGTACATTATTTAATCCTCCTAAAGGAAGATCTCTACCCGCTCACATGGCCTCGTGCCAGAATAATTTTTAACAGGCGCTGACAATAAAGTCAGGTTAGTAAAGAATAAAACTTCAAATGGTTGCCTCACACGTCCAATAACTAAGTTATATCCATTACCCCAGAATTATCAAGCCTAAGTCGCATTATAATGAAGTTCCTTCAGTGTATTGTAACAATAGTTTAATTTATTTATAGTTTATCTATTTAAAACACACTATTTACAATTTATTTATGACGTACTAATTAATTTATATAATACTTAGGCACTAACTCACAATTCTAATTTATTTATTACAATTTAACTTTTCTGTCCAACACTTTATTCGAATCTCCTCGTCCGTTGATAAGTTGCGCTATTTATACCAAGCCCAATTATGTACGAGAAGTCTCTAGACGATGTGGAATGTCCTAGAATTCCATCTTTATGACTCAACGTCACGTACCGCTTGTTCTGGTAATTTCTAGAGAAGCGGAGAGTTTGTCTCTATACGTCAGCGGTGTTTCGACCATGAGTCGAATGGCAGGCTGAAGGTCGCGCTCTACAGGGACGGCTTAGGCATTCCCATGACAGTTTAAATTTTGTGGTTTACCATATGTTGGACTAATTAGCTGCTTTACAGTTCTTTGGTACAACTTCTCTTCCCTAACACCCTGTGTATAAATGTATATATTCGTTTTTGTTAACTCTCGTTTTGTTTTTACGACCTGGTCAGCGCCGGGCCCCCAGCATGTTCAGATTCCCTGAACAGAGTAATATAATCAATTACAAGTGCAAAAGCAATAATTGTATTGTGACCAGAGATAAATTGTAAACTAGAGGGCTATTTTCAAACTCAAAAGGATTCACTTCTCTCAAGAGAAATGTCATACATCAACGTAAAACAGTATTTTTAGGGCCAGTGTGAACTCACTGACTGTTTCTCCTGGTTTATTTAGAGAGGATTAAAATTATCCTAGGAATTTTAATCCTCAAGGCCTTTTAAAACGTTTTCACATTGACGTATGACATTTCTGATGAGAATCTTAAGAGAAATGAGTGCTCCCATACTTTGAAAATAGGTCCCACGGTGGTTGTAGTTATTTTTAGTGATATAAAATGTATATGTGATCAGTTTTGAAAGTATAAACAATTTTTTATATTAATTAATAAAGACATGTAAATACAGACAGTTCCGTCCCATTTTATTGTGTCTTTGTGTTGTGACTCCTTCAAAATAATGGATCTTCATTCTATGGAGAAATATTCCATAATATGTGAAACTAGTTAGAAAGTTTTAATTCCTCTGTAAGAGCGTCACGTAGCCAGTGGCATCCCTACAAATAGTCTTTCGAGCCGGATGGTACTGAAGGTGTATAATTGTCAATAAATGGTTTCGACAAGTTAACGGTTCTGATATTTCAAAATCGATAACTTGACCGCATGCACCCTAATCTTTGGTGGGCAGATGTCAGCAAAAACACAAGTGGGAAATAAATGAAATTGATTATGTTACTCTGTTCAGGGTATCTGGACATTTGGTAAACAATTTTAATTGATAACAAATCTATAAAAAACGAAAACTTAAAGTCAGACAAGTTTAGAAAACTAAGCACTTTACTTAGGGAAAGTGATATACAGGGTTGGGCATAATTGGCGGAACACCCGATTTGTGGCTCAATTATGGATTGTATTGAAAATTAACCCAAATAAAGTTTTTTGTATATTTTATGTACTATTTAATGACGCTTGGGGATTTTCATTATCTGTCATATTTATCAAGATATGACGTCATCGGATGAAATTTTAAATGAATCACCCTATATTTATATTTTTTTTCAGATAGATCTTTTCTTTCTGAATCCATTAATGTAAGGTTTGAGGGTCTCCGAGTTCATAACAAAATAGAAAGTAAACATTTATTTAATAAAAAATAATAATTATTATCAATCGAAGTATTACAAATCTCTCAAAGTAAGTGTTCGAAGTGAAAGCCTCCAACTGCCTGACAATATCCTAGTCTATCAACAAATGATCTTAAGGCATTTTGATAAACTTCAGGTGTTATTTCTTGAACAGCAATTCTTATTTTGTATTCCAATTCTTCCAGCGAATGTGGCAGGTCCTTATAAACTACTGATTTCAAATGGCCCCAAAGAAAAAAATCCAGTGGGGTTAAATCCGATGACCGTGCCGGCCACTCAATATGTCCTCTTCGACCCACCCATCTCTGTGGAAATATTGTGTTCAGGTACTGCCTCACTCTAGCATCGAAATGAGGTGGAGCACCATCTTGCTGAAACCAAATTTCATCAGAAAGTTGTAAGTGATTTCTGTGATTTGGATATAAACGAACTAACTCTGGAACTATCTGCTCTTGAAGTAGTTGCAAATAACGATCACCGTTCAGAGTTCCTCTCATGAAGAATGGTCCAATAATTCTTCCTCTAACTATACCAGCCCAAACATTTAACTTTTGTGGATATTGGGTGTGACCTTCTTCCATCCAGTGAGGATTATGATCAGACCAATACCGACAATTATGTTTATTTACAAATCCATTGAGACAAAATGTTGATTCGTTGGAAAAAACAATGCTGTTCATCAACATATTATTTCCATTAATGGCATCCATCATTACCTGGCAGAATTGCATTCGCCTATCTGGGTCATCTTCATTCAATTCCTGGTGTAATTGCACTTTATAGGGATGAAATTTATTGACTTTCAGAATCCTCCTTACAGATCTCTCGCTCATATTATTGTCTAACGCAAGCTTTGGAACTGAAGTTTTTGGTTCTTCCTGTACACTTAGAACCACATTAAGTGCATTTTCTTCATCATTGGCTGTCTTCTTCCGTCCAGATCTGGGATTATTTTTCACACTTCCTGTTTCATTAAACTTGCTCAAATTTCTGGATACTGTAGATTTAGAAATCGGGGAAATCCTGTCAGGAAATGTTTCATTGAACAAATTACAAGCTTCTTGCAGAGATCTCTTTCTGTCTCCAAACCCAATAATCATCAATAGTGTAATTCTTTCACGTTCACTCAGTTCAACCATGGTTTAAATTAATAAAAATTCTCAATAGTATCAAATGCTAAGAGTTATTTATTTTCGCGTATTGGGTTAGTTTGGGTGAAATGAATTGACTTGCAATTAAACTCAACTTGTTTGATTGTCTCCATAAACCAGAATTAATTAAAATCTACAGATTAATAAAAGGTGACAATAGTTTTTATAATATTATAAAAACCAAGTAAACAGTAACACAAAAACATTGGTAGGTATTTCTGTCAGAGATGTACAATAATCGTATTAATAAAACTCAGTGATTAATATCGAGATGTCAATATTACATTTTAATGTCAAAAAGTGAAACCATGGCAAAACAATTGATATTGGTACATTATGATGGCACAGACAACTTTGTGAATAGTTATTCATTCATTATTTAAAAGAACGTTTACCATTTTGTTTTATTATTTTCTGATGATAAGGAAAATCAGAGACCACCCGAACCCCATATTGATGGATTCAGAAAGAAAAGATCTATCTGAAAAAAAATATAAATATAGGGTGATTCATTTAAAATTTCATCCGATGACGTCATATCTTGATAAATATGACAGATAATGAAAATCCCCAAGCGTCATTAAATAGTACATAAAATATACAAAAAACTTTATTTGGGTTAATTTTCAATACAATCCATAATTGAGCCACAAATCGGGTGTTCCGCCAATTATGCCCAACCCTGTATAGTACTCGACCTTCTGAATAATATGAGTATTTTTTCATATAAAGGGTATTAAAGTCGCAAAATGGAATTTTTTTAAAAAGACCACACTTCTTAACAAAGCACTTTAATTACAGTTATTTTTAAGAATAATGCTTTACTAATTCAAAAAATATTTCCAGTATAACCTATGACGTAAATCAAACGTAAATTATAATTTGTTACAGGGTGAGTCACAAATTACTGAAAATGGAATTTAGATTTTTAAAGTTCAGCTTAACTCTATGAAATAAAAAGAAAATTAATCTGTATATACGGGGTTGGTTCTCAATTAAAATATCATTTTTAAAAGATGATTTTTAAAATGTTTAAAATATGTATATCTTTGCTCAGTATAATTTTATAAAAATAAATTCTGGCTTCTAAGAAATCAGCTCGTAAAATTATAATTTAATTATCTACTGTCCTTTGCACCATATGAAATATATCTGAAATTTTTTGACTAATGCGTTTCACATTTAAATCATTTTTAAAACGAAAATCTTGGAACCATACCTCAAAATCTTCAATTACTTTTTGGTAAATCAAAGAGAAGTAAAGTAACCTGAAGAAAATTTAAGTACATTTCACCATTCAATCTAGCAGTTAAAACAACTATATGAGATTTTCGCCGATTATTCCTGCCCATATATTAAGTCGAAACTCATGTTGAAAATGGCGATGTCTGATGTGGATTTTCAAGGGTATTACCACAAGGGTTGATAAACAACAAAATGTTCTCAAAAAAAATTCTCGCCCGCATGGTAATTGAAAAGATTATTTAACAATATAAACATAACTTTTAAAAACCACATTTACGCAAGACGAAATCAAAAGTGATGTCGATTCTCTATTTACAATATACAAGGTGTTTCATATTATATGCGCAGAACTTCAGGACATGATAGCTTGTCCAAAAATATGAAAAAAACGTTTCTATTAACTTACCCTCTAAAATGCACCATTTTCGAGATACAGGGTGTTGAAATTGAAAAAAAAATTCTACGCCACTGGAAAAAGTACGGTTTTGAGACGCCCATTTGAACCGCCAATGTTTTCTACACAAAAAAGGTACTCTTGGTCATACGCTCTAAAGTCGACCGTTTTCGAGAAAAATCAAATTTTAATGTTGAAATACATGGTCAATTTTTGGAAAAAAAACTTTTTTCTTACTAATGAAACAACATTATTAAACGTTAGAACAAGTAACAAAAGCAAACGTTAACTTCATAATTGCAAAATTAAAAAAAAAACAATAAATCATAAACAGTTAAAATAAATGTTCGAAATGTACGCTGTTAGCTTCAATGCACGCAGCAATTCTTCGACACTTCGACGCATTGACTGTCTAACACGCAGGAGAATTCCCGGAGTGTTCCGAATTATGTCGCAAGATGCAACAATGCGCTCTCTTAATTGGTCAACATTTTTAACTGGAGTAGCGTAGACTAGGGTTTTGAGATGGCCCCAAAAGAAAAAATCTAAACAATTAAGATCGGGAGATCGCGGGGGCCAAGGGTGTGGACCTCCTCGACCGATCCAACGGTTTTGGCATTCGTCGTCCAAGTATTGGCGAGCAAGCAAACTAAAGTGGGCCGGAGCTCCATCATGCATAAAGTACATGTTTTGCCTTACGTGAAGCGGTACATCTTCCAGCAGCTCCGGCAGTAGTTCTTCTAGAAATTGTCGATAATCTGCACCGTCTAATCTGTTCGGCAAAAAAATATGGGCCTATCAAATTGTCACCGACGATGCCAGCCCAAACATTCACGGAAAATTGTTGCTGATGACGGCGTTCTGCAATTTCATGTGGATTTTCTTCAGCCGATATGTGGTTATTGTGAAAATTAAAAATACCATCTCTCAAGAAAGATGCTTCATCTTTAAACAGAACTTCGGCTTCAAACCGAGGATTTTGAGCTATTTTGTCTTGCATCCATTTACATAGAGCCAATCTTGGCGGAAAATCTCTGGGCAATAAGGCTTGTACTCTTTGGATATGATAGGGATACAAAAGTTGTCTTTTCAAATTTCTTCACGCCGTCGAGTGAGATAAGTTTAAGTTGTGAGCTATTTGTCTGGTACTTGTGGTCGGATTTTCTTCAATTTCGTTGAGGACAGCCTCTTCTTGGGGAATTGCAACTTCCATAGGCCGTCCACTATCATCAGTATTCTTTTTAAAATTTCCATTTTCCTATAGTCGTTGGTGAATGCGTTGAAACAAGTTATGGTGTGGTATTTGACGATCAGGATGTCTTTCTTGATACAACCGCCTTGCTTCTGCCGTATTACCTTCCGCCAATCCGTAAAGGTAATGCATTTCGCACATTTCAGCGTTTATGTAATTCATTTTGAATTTTATAACACAACTTTATCTTTTGCAGGCACAAACTAATTGTTATTTTGACAGGAGGTAGCTTTTCTTTGAAATCTAAAACCTACTTGATGAAACAAAATTTGATTTTTCTCGAAAACGGTTGACTTTAGAGCGTATAGCCAAGAGTACCTTTTTTGTGTAGAAAACATTGGCGGTTTAAATGGGCGTCTCAAAACCGTACTTTTTGTAGTGGCGTAGAAATTTTTTTTTCAATTTCAACACCCTGTATCTCGAAAATGGTGCATTTTAGTTAATAGGAACGTTTTTTCATATTTTTAGACGAGCTATCATGTCCTGAAGTCCTGCGCATATATTATGAAACACCCTGTATATTTGAACAACCAAAACGATTTTTTCCATTTTTGCTCACCTTTTAGACAAACTTCACATTGGCGTTTAGCGGGATTGAGTGAAAACACTGCAACATTCAGAATTTTCAGATACAGTTTGTTTTGATTGGCGTGTTGGAATAAAAGAGGATCTCTGGTTGATGCATTATAGTGTTCAATGATCATCTGAATATACAAATACATGTTCGTAGAATAATTTTGTTATTCTTCTCCTCGTAAAGCAGGTTTAATCGGTAAATGAATTTTTACTGTGAAAGTGAATACCTTGAGGCCTTCTTTTTTAATAAATTTACCAAATGTTAGACGCGATCCAGGTTCTGCTGGTAAAAATTCATGTAAACTTTGAAGGTATACGGGTATACTCTGTAGGACTACCATTTGAAACTCCCATTATACGAGACAAACCACTAGTACTTTTTTAAATCTTCCAGTCTTGCAAATGTCTTATGATTCGGCACCTAACGGTAAGGAAATCTTTCTTGGTTTCTTTATTCATTTCACACTTCTCTGAAAATTTCTTTCACAAAACCCGAGAATCAACAACACATCAGTTTTTTCACAATAAGAATACATTGCAGCCATTATCAGTGATAAACTTAACAAAAAATAAGAAACTCAAACAAAAAACTTCAGATATTGAAACACTTTTACTAAACTTCTGTACTTTTGACACGTAACTGATTTTGTGTTTAAAGATATATGAATTATGACTAGATTATATTTAGTTTGTAATGCCCATAAATTTAAAATTATTTATCATGAAAAAATGAACAACTCGAAAAATGCCATAAAAATGCTTATAATTTAAAATTCCATAATGACCAAATCCTTTTTTATTATTAAAATATTAATAACTCAAAACTACTGTGTCGGTGGACTTGGTCATCTTCTCTTCGTTTTTTTGGACAAAAACAACAGCGTAGGCACCACATTTGTATGGCGAAATTTTTGTTTAATACACTTACGATTTAGGTACCCTTTTTATGAGCATTATTATTATTTCTTTAAAAAATCTTTCACGCCTTATATCTACAGTCTCAGACGATTTTAGATATAGGTAAATCGGAAATCATCTTATTTTTACCCGAGAAGTCTATAGTTAAGTTATATATCCCAACCTTTTGGAGACACCTTGTATACATTGGCAGAGCTAATTAATTTATACAAATAATCTCCATAATTCAAATATTACACGGCAGTGAATTTTTAGGGTAAAAACATTAATCTTTTCAATTCAAAGACTTGTTAATTACGTATTGATCTTCTAAAATAACATCCAGGAAAGCCATTTAGTTATTGTTTCACAATGTAGGTTAATAAGAACCTACAAAGTTTAAAATTTTGTTTTCACAAAAAGAACAAAGTAACATAACTTTTATGTAAATGAAAAATGAAATATATACTGTCATTAATAAACCATTAAAAACATATATTTTACTTCATAGATACTTACTTTGTAATACTTGTTTTTAATTTATTCATTTCTGGCAATATACGTTTGCATTAATGAGTATTTTTTTGTCCAACATCATTATTTTAATGTTCATGTAAATGACACTTTATTTCATATTTTAGGTATGTAAATTACAGAGATTCTAAATTAACAAGACTTCTGAAAGAAGCTTTAAGTGGCAACTGTAAAACTGTAATGATCGCACATGTTTCACCTACGGCAGCTCAAAAAGACGAATCTAGAAATACATTAATATATGCCGATCGAGCCAATAATATCACAAATAAAATCGAAAGAAACGTTTTAGACGTATCTTATCATGTCACGCAATACCAAACAGTTATCAGTGAATTAAGAGATGAAATATCTCGGCTTCAATATAAAATGAAAGAAGAAAGACCAAGATCTGCTGACGCTAAAAAACTAAATTCAGAAGAGAGAAGAAAGGAAGTCCAACAATTAAGAGAACAAATTGTGGAAACATTTAAAACGCAGATGAAATTAAGAAGGAAATTGATGGAAATAGATTCTCACTTGCTAAGTTTAGGAATGGAATCGGAAAGACAGCATATGATAATATCACATTGGGAATCTAGAAATAATAAGTTATACAAAAATAGTTTAAATGAATCAAGAGCTAGAACTCAACAAAGCATGAGGTAAGTTGTTGTTGCTGATATATTTTCACTACACATATTATAGTTTTTCGACAAATATTTTTCTTAATTTGTTTTTACTTCCTATATTCGATCCATTGTAACTTACAATTGATATTAGTAAAATTACATCTCATGTAACCGAATGCTTTAATAGTTATCATATTTATACCTATTTATCAATTTTCAGGAGAAAAATCCACACTGCAGATGGTTTTCGGTCAGCTGGATATGAACAAGAAGAAATTTCAGAAACTGATACCGAAGAAGGGGAATTAGCCATTCAACAAGCCTGGGTCGAATTAGCAGACATTGAAAGAGAACAAGAGCGTTGGTCTGAACTGCGAAGTCATATTGAACAAAAACTTGAAGTTTGTAGACAGCGAGGTGTTTCTTTAGAAGATGTAAGTTATAAAGTTGAATCATTACTGGTTATTGGTTAAATACTTAGAAGGTAATGCACAGTTTTTAATTACTTTTATGTCATACCTACCTACTTTTTTTCACCCTTTCAGGCATCCCTCGTCTCCTCCTGAGATGTTCCGACAGATCCTCCCAATCAGGCTTGGAGTCCAGTCTCCTTTTCCTCCTCTGGCTTATTGCGCGTATTGTGCCACCATTTGGATGCCCCACTCCTTTCCATTCATTCAGCTCATGCATTCTTCCATAGTAATTCTTTATTATGTATTTATATTGCTTAATTACAAAAAATGTTTATAATTTGGCTTGTACCCACAAATTCGAAAACTATTAAAGGAATTCACCCTACCAAATTATGAAATTTATTCCCAAACCCCAAGGTGAAAGAAAATAAACTAATCAACAATTGAAGAAAATTTCACGTGCCTCGAGCTGAATTCGAACTATCCATACCTAACTTTCCGTGATAGTACCTTGACTTCTCGATTATCAGGGCTACAAGTGTAATGAGTTCGAGACGTCAACTTGGTATATACAGGGTGTTTATTAATTGAGTGCCGATACTTAAGGGTGTGAATCCTTAGGTGATTTTAAGAAGAAAAGTTAATATCAACATATGTCGTAACTCACTTAATTTTTGAGCTACAGGGTGTTACAGTTTTAAGAAAAAAATTACTTTTTTGTCATAATTTTTTTATCACTCCAGATATTTCTATGAAATTTTGTACACACGTTTTAATAATTAAGGAGCATTTTTTGACGTATAAGATTTTTTTAAATTTTTACCAGTGACGTCCGTACGGGGTTTGAACTGAATATTTTTGGAGAAAAAAATGGTACGCCACTGCTTTTTCTGAAAACCAAAATTATTTTTGAAATCACCATTTATTTTGGAGCAAACTTGGTTCATAGACTTACTTTCGTACGATGCACCGTTTTCGCGTAAAAAAATAAAAACCATTGTAGTGGTTGGTCAAATTTTTTCCTTAAATTCATTGATACCTACTGCTTTTGATATTTTGTTGAAATCTGGTAGGCACCCACCATGCGTGGAAACATTTTTTTGGGACAAAAATTAATTTTCTACATTTTGAATAGAAAAAAATGGTAAGCGCATTATTGCCCTCTTAAAGCAAATGAAATAAACATTAGTAGGCTGGGTAAAGCGTCATCATTTTTGACGTTTCTTTTCATAAAAACAATAAAGTTGACATTGATTTTACATTATTAAATAATTATTATTAGAGTAAGAGTTAAAATCTGAAAAAAATGGTAAATTTTACGAACAGTGAATTTAGCTGACATGCATTTTAGTTATGGGCTTGCAGACGGAAATGCATACGAAGCCAGACGGATATACCAAGAGCGGTATCCAAATCGCGTACTACCCGATCCGAGAACATTTTCTAGGATTCATAGACGTCTTCACGAGACCGGAACTTTAAAAGTAGACCACAGGGCTAAAGGAGTCCATCAAACAGTAAGAACACCGGAACTTGAAGAAGGAATTTTACATGAAATTGAGGAGAACCCCGAAACTAGCACGAGGAGAATCGCGTCAACATTTAATGTTTCACATGTACTTGTTTGGAAAATTCTCATCGAAAATTTGTTATACCCATATCACATTCAAAGAGTCCAGGCATTACTCCCTAGAGATTTCCCGTTGTGCATTAATTTCTGTGAGTGGTTTCTTCAAAACCTGCTGAAAAATCCATTATTTGACAGGCACATTCTTTTTACCGATGAAGCTAATTTTTCTCGAAACTCAATAATAAATTTCCATAATAACCATTTATGGGCGGATGAAAACCCTTATGCAATTGTTGAGTCAAATCATCAAGAACAGTTCTCATTAAATGTTTGGGCTGGCATTATTGATGATTATTTGATAGGCCCATTTTTTCTCCCAAGAAGACTTGATGGACAATCATATTTACACTTCCTTGAAGATGATCTGCCGCCAATGCTTGAAGACCTTCCTCTTTTATTAAGAAACCAGATGTGGCTAATGCACGATGGTGCGCCTCCACATTTTAGCTTACGAGTGCGTGAATTTTTAAATCACACCTATCGCAATCGGTGGATAGGTCGCGGAGGAACGCAGTCATGGCCGCCTAGATCTCCCGACCTTAATAGTTTAGACTTCTTTTTCTGGGGGCATCTGAAAAGCTTAATGTACGCAGTGCCGATTCAAACCGAAGAAGAGTTACGAAATCGTATAACAGTCTGCTGCCAAACCATAAGAAACACCCCAGGAATCTTTGAAAATGTGCGTCAGTCTATGCGAAGAAGAGTAGATGCTTGCATACGTGTGGGTGGAGGACACTTCCAACAATTACTGTAAATAATTTGGGTTCTTTATTTTGTTTGTATTTTCTTGTAATTTTGTTTTAGATTCAAGATTTTGAATTTTCATTTTACTATAAATAAATCCCGATTTTTAAAATATATAGAATTTAAAAAAATCAGAGGTGTACGTTTTTTTTTCTATCCAAACATTCAATATGATGCCTACGTGGCCGTCACTGGTGAAAGTAAAAAATTAATTTTTGCCCCAAAATAAGTGTTTTCACGCATGGTGGGTGCCTACCAAATTTCAACAAAAAATCAAAAGCAGCTTAAGAAAAAAAATTTTGGTTTTTATTTTTTTTGGCTAACACAGTGCATCGTACGAAAGCAAGTCTATGGGCCAAATTTGCTTAAAAATAAATGAATATTTCAAAAATAATTTTGGATTTTAGAAAAAGCAGTGGCGTACCATTTTTTTCTTCAAAAATATTCAGTTCAAACCCCGTACGGAAGTCACTGTTAAAAATTTAAAAAAATCTTATACGTCAAAAAATGCTCCTTAATGGTAAAAAGGTGTTTACAAAATTTCATAGAAATATCTGCAGTGATAAGAAAATTATGAAAAAAAAATATATTTTTTTCTTAAAACTGTAGCTCAAAAATTAAGAGATTTACGACATATGTTGATATTAACTTTTCTTCTTAAAATCACCCAAGGATTCACACCCTTAAGTATCGGCACTCAATTAATAAACGCCCTGTATATATAATTGTTATATCATATTTACCAGTTGTTGTGGTCGATATCCACCAATTTCTACCCCTAACAAATCATCAAAAATGTTTTATTTGGGGTTTCATCGATAAACTTGAACATATCATCTCTGGATAGAACTTTTAAAGTTTTTGGCTCCATACCATTTTTATAATTTCTTCAAATATTCCCCCAACTTCGAAATTCTGTAGACAAACAGTGATAGTCTAAGATCTAGCAGTCATTTTGAGTAAAGTGTTCAACACAAGGTAAAAAATTTGTAGAATTTTAATTTAATGTCAGTTGAATAAAGAAATAATGATCAGGCAGGGATACCGCGGTTTCGACGCTTATATTTAAATTCTTGAAAATTTAAAAAAAATTAACGTGTTTTCACAAGGCTAAAACTTTCATTAAATACTCTTTAAATTGTTTTATTAACATAATTATAACTGTCAGACCATTTCGGCGGTTGCTAGTGCCCGCCAGACAATTATACAGGGTGGCCACTTAAAAGTTCCATCCCCTCTTATCTTAGCTATTAACTGAAATATCGAAGTGATCTTTTTTTTTGTTTAAACATTTGGAGTAAAACTTTATTAGAACTAATTCAATTGCTTTGTAACGTCATGGCGTACTTTCGGTTTTCCCGAAAATAACAGTAAATCGCAATTTATTTATTTTAAAAAGATAACCCCTTTTTTTTATTGAAAATTCGAATATATTGAACATGAACATGGATAATATACATACATTTTCTTGAAACTTATTAATAGCTCGTCTTTTTTACGCAGGCTGTCCAGCACAGCCTTAAGTACGTCCAAAGTAATTCCCAAATATTTTTCTGTACCCGCGTAGGGGATTTGGAAATTATTTATTCTAACTGAAATATGAGGTTTCCTTTTATTTGTCAAATTTATGTATGCAGATTTACTTTATCATTTAGCCTAGTTCGCACAACGTTGTGTCCAATCAGTAATTTTATTTAAGTTCTGCAATTTTCTAGGTACCTCAGTAAAGGGGCTATGTTCATTCTAGAACAATCCTTATGTAAATTAACATGGAAAATCGCTAAGGTTCATTCTAGCAATTTTTGTCTAAATCAAGGTCACACCATCTCAACTAACTCGTCGAGCCACCAACGGGGGAGTGGGGAAAACGGGGTAGTGGGGGGGGATTAAATTTCGTCGAATAGAATTTTTGCGTAGTGATAAAGCCAAAAGGGCCTTAGCGTATATCTTCACTGCTATTGGTCCGATTTAAATGGAAAAAACGGCATTATGAAGAGAGCGTGATATAGATTAAAGTTGAAAAGAAAAAATCATGCGCAATGACAGGACAAAAGGACCTTAGCGTATATCTTCACTGCTATTGGTCCGATTTAAATGGGAAAAACGGCATTATGAAGAGAGCGTGATATAGATTGACATACAAGAGAAAAATCATGCGCAGTGACAGGACAAAAGGACCTTAGCGTGTATCTCAGCTATCGTTGGTCCGATTTAAATGGGAAAAACGGCATTACGTAGAGAGAGGAATATAGATTAACATACAAGAGAAAAATCATGCGCAATGACAGGACAAAAGGACCTTAGCGTATATCTTAGCTATCGTTGGTCCGATTTAAATGGGGAAAACGGCATTACGTAGAGATCGTGGTATAGATTAACGTACAAGAGAATTTTTGCGTAAAGCCAGAAGGGCCTTAGCGTATATCACGTGGTCCGATTTAAATGGGGGGTATGTGCACCGGAAAGTTTGACGACTGACGTTTGGCGTTTCACGTTTGACGTTTGACGTTTGACGTTTGACGTTTGACGTTTGACGTTTGACGTTTACCGTTTGACGTTTTTGACGTTTGACGTTTACCGTTTGACGTTTTACGGTTAACGTTTGACGTTTCTGCTAGTATCAAGCGTCAAGGTTAACAACCCAGAT